CCCTTTTCTGAAGAAGGGTCCTGACCCGAAACATCAGCTTTCCTGCTCCTCTGATGCTGCCTGGCCTGCTGTGTTCCTCCAGCTCCACACTGTGTTATCTCTGATTCCAGCATCAGCAGTTCTTACTATCTCTGTATATACTTTTGCCATTTTTCCCTGTTTATGGTAGCCATTTTTAGTACAATGAATGGTAATGGGGGAGGGGTGTTCTCCATAAGGTTGAGGGCTTACTTCAATTATTGATTGGCTTACCTTATCCATAGCATTACCCTGTCATGGCAAGTCAAAGGCTGCAATACAAGTCTATCTCTTCAATCGCTTTCAGAGTTTATGGAGAGGAAGTCACAAGGATTTATTTACCTGGCATTTTCCTGTGCGAATGTCGTATAAAGCCATTGAGCCATGTCGAGCCCCGACTGCTATTCTGTTACTCCTCTCACAGTAGCTTACCATGTAGAACCTGAAATCCACAAGAGAATTTCAAAAGGACTGAAATCTACTGGCATGTCATACCAGTGAACCAGCAACAGCAGCAATGTGCTTTGCGATCACTCACCCTTGTATTAAAAATCAAAAATGTAATGTTACTTCTAATACACAAGGATAATTTTTGGACAACATGTTGGGTGTTCTGTGTCTTTAACATTTTTTTTGCTAAAGAAACAAAGTGGAGACAATGGTGTCAGGTGACCAGCGACAGATATTAATTCTGCCAACCACTTCCTCGAAAGCTGACAATATCTCATAACTAGGGTTAATTTAGTCTTCAGATAATACTAAGTGCTATTTTGTTCGTGGACCACACTGGTACTTTGTGCTATTTGCCACCTCCATCAGAATGTGATACTGGCTAAGAATAGTTTTAGGTAGCTCACTGTCACCAATCTTTCTTTGTCTTTGCTTTGACTTGGGAAAATCTAGTGATTAGTGATAGCAGATACATCACTTTAGAGTATCTACAGACAAGGTACTTTTTCCCAGATAACAGGAAGATTTATTGCATGATAGCAATGAGTACAACTACATTTGGTCAGGCATAATTGCTAGGAGCTTAGAGAGCTGGTACAGATACATCTGCTGCTTCTGAAAGCGAAGGCAGAACTGCGTGTCTCCACCCACGGGCTGTGCGTGACATCAGTAGAATGATGGAGCCATTGTAACGTGAACATTAACCACTTCAGAACCACAACCTTATACAATATGTTGCTGCCACAGTTCCATTTCAGAAGACATTTTAGCAATTGAATGTGCGGCGCTTATGTGTACAGACTTAAAATACAAACGCAATTGAGTTTAAAAGAGAAATTCTTTCTTTTAAAACTATAACTGATAGGAAATTATTAAACCGTGTGACAAAAGGTGTGTGGTATAGATTAAAGTTACTTTTTTTTTTACAATAACGTAAAAAGACTATCACATTTAACACGTTTACTTCTCAATCTATCAGCACGATTTGCTAGAAACTGCAACTTTGCAAGCCATTTACCTGAAAAAGCTATATTTTAATTAGGTTCTCTTATCATGTAAAGAATACTTGCATCAACATAATGCGAAATAGCATTGTATGCAAACGCCTAGTCTCAAGACAGTTTTCTATGTGTAGCATCAATGTAATCCATTTTAAGAAGGATCAGAGTTCAGAGGCATTATGTTCCTATTAGAGTGAAAAGTAAGGCTGGTAAGATTAAGGAACAATTGATGAATAAAGATATCGAGGTTCTAGTCAAGAATAAAAGAGAATTTTTTTTAGATATAGACAACTTGGTTCAATTGAATTTCTTAATCAATATAATGAGTGTAGGGATATTCTTAAGAAAGAAATCAGGAAGGCAAAGAGGGGATATGAGATAGCATTAGCACATAAGAGATTCTACAAATACATTAAGAGCAAGAGGGCAACTAGAGTGAGGGTAGGGCCTTTTAAAAATCTTTGTATTCAACCTCAGGAGATAGGAGAGGTACTATATGAATATTTCGCGTCAATTTTTACTGTGGATAAAGAAATGGTGTCCAGAGAATGAAGAGAAATAAACTTTGATGTTTTTAAAACAGATCACATTATAGAAGAGAGATAACAAGGTGTAGAGCTGGATGAACACAGCAGGCCAAGCAGCATCAGAGGAGCAGGAAGGCTGACGTTTTGGGCCTAGACCCTTCTTCACATTATAGAAGAGGATGTTTGGGAAGTCTTAAAGAATATAAAGGTGGATAAATCTCCAGGACCTGATCTAATGTATCCCAGAACATTGTGGGAAGTAAGGGACGAAATTGTGAGACCCCTTGCAGACATATTTGCAGCATCCATAACTACAGATGAGGTGCCTGATGACTGGAAGGTGGCTAATGTTGTACCGTTGTTCAAAAAAGGTTGTAAGGAGAACCTGGAGAACTATACATCTGTGAGTCTGACTTCAGTTGAGGGTAAATTGTTGGAAGTGATTATAAAAGATAGGATTTATGGATGTTTAGGGAGGAAAAAGTTTTTAAGGGATAGACAGCATGGTTTTGTGCAAGGAAAATCATGTCTCACAAACTTGATTGAGTTTTTTGAGGAAGTTACCAAAAAGATTGATGATGGCAGAGCAGTAGATGTTTATTTGGATTTTAGTGAAGCCTTTGACAAGGTTCTGCATGGTAGACCTAATTAGTAAAGTTAGGTCACGTGGGATTCGGGGTGAACTTGCCGATTCAATACATGATTGGCTTAATGGCAGGAGACAGAGAGTAATTGTGGAGAGTTGCTTTTTGGACTGGAGGCCTGTGACCAGCGGTGTTCCATAGGGATCGGTTCTGGGTCCTCTTTTGTTTATCATTTATATATGTGATTTAGATCAGAATATAGAGGCATGGTTGGTAAGTTTGCGGACAACATCAAAACTGGTGGCATAGTGGGCAGTGAAGAAGGCTTTCTAACGTTACCAAGGGATCTTGATCAAACGGTCAGTGGGCTGAAAAATGACACAGAGTTTAATCTGGACAAATGTGATGTATTGCATTTTGGTACAACAAACAATGGTAGGGCTTATACAATGAATGGTAGGGCCTTGGGCTGTGCTGTGGAAGAGAGACCTAGGGGTGCAGGTACATAATTCTTTGAAGTTTGCGTCACATATAGACAGGGTGGATAAAAAGGGGTTTGGCACACTTGCCTTCATTGCTCAGTCCTTTGAGCATAGGAGTTGGGAAGTCATGTTGCGGTTGTACAGGACATTGGTGAGGCCTCTTCTGGAGTACTGTGTCCAATTCTGGTTGCCCAGCTCTAGAAAATATATTATCAAGCTGGGGAGGGTTCAGAAGAAATTTACCAGGATGTTGCCGGGTATGGAAGGTTTAAGTTATAAAGAAAGGCTGGATAGGCTGGGACGTTTTTCACTGTAGTGTAGGAGGTTGAGAGGCGATCTGATAGAAATTTATAAAATAATGAGAGGTAGATGGCATTAACAGTAGCTGTCTTTTCCCTAGGATAAGGGATTTCAAGACGAGGGGGCACATTTTTAAGGTGAGAGGAGAGCGATTTAGAAAAGACATGAGAGGCAAGTTTTTACACAGAGGATAGTTCGTGTGTGGAATTAACTTCCTGAGGAAGTGATGGATGTGGGTACAACTACATGAATAGGAAAGGTTTGGAGGGATATTGGCCAGGAACAGGCAGGTGGGACTCATTTTGTTTGGGATTATGTCTGGCATAGACTGGCTGGACAAAAGGGTCTGTTTCTGTGCTGTATGACTCTATGAGGATGAGTATCAGTTATGACGATGATTGATAAAACACATTACAACAATTATTTGTCTTACTTAAGATATATTGTCCATTACATCAAAATGTTAATAATGTTGATGCAATATGCAACAGTTGTATATTTTCTTTCAACAAAAATTGAACTTGGTCTGCTATAACTAAAATACCAGCAGAGTTTTGCAAATTGTAAACAACGTGCTGCTATTTTTGAGCTGTGCAATACAATGTTGCTTTTTGAAGAAGTGAGAAGAAGAATTTGAGACTGAGTAGCCCCAACAAACTTGTGAGTTAAGGAAATTCTGCCTGAAAACAACCCTCTGATTGGTTGAACTGCAGAGTGTTGAAAAGCTAGAAGTGTCAGGAGCAGCAGAAAAAAAAATCCAGACCTTGCTAACACAGCACATCGATTTGTCTCTCTCTCTAGGAAAAAAATGCAGGAAAACTAAAAAGCTGAAAAGAATTCTGAGAAATCAAAAGGACTGAGTAAACAACTTTCCACCTTGTTGTCTGGACATTTGATCTTCAAAAACGTGTTAACTCTTTCTGCATCCTTCTTCACCCAGAGCGTGCATCAATCCATTTGTTTTCTGTGTGTCTTAATTGTGATTGAGCACGTACGCATTTGGGTTTTTGAAAGGATATAGTTTTGACTTGTATAGTAGTAGATTAGAAATCCTTTATTTTCTCTGATTTTGTTAAAGTTAAGTGTAATACAATAAATTGAGTTATTTACTGTTACTGACAAAGCCTGGTGCCCCGAATAACAGCTGGTCAGGAAAGTTGGACATTTTGGTGGTTTAACTGGCATTTTTTATAGTTGTACATTTGTGACAGCTTATGGGACAGTGAGGCACAATTATTAGGTCACACTTGCCAGTTAAGTCACGATGAATATTTAAGGCTTGGACAACTATTAGTAAAGAACACCATTTGAATGAATGAATCACTCAAACTATCTTACTCCTGTTATAAGAAGGTGCAGCAATTAGTAAAGAAGTCAAACTAGTTATTGGCCTTCATTGCAAGAGGATTCGAGTACAGGAACAAGGATGATTTGCTGCAATTACACAGGGCATTGGTGAAGCTGCGCCTAAAGTACTATATGCAGTTTTGATCTCTGTATCTGAGGAAGAATGTCCTTGCTGTAGAGGAAATGCAGCGAAGATTTACCAAGTTGATTCCAGGGATGGCAGGACTGACGTATGAGCAGAGATTGAGTCCATTTGGATTACATTCACTGGGGTTTAGAAGAATGCGGGGTGATCTCATAGAAATCCACAAAAATCCTACAGGACTAGACAGGTTAGATGTAGGAAGGATGTTCCTGATGGAAGGGGCAGTTTAAAACCAGGGGTCGTGAGCCTGTGGTTGAGGCCAAAACATGTGTTTTCAAAAAAGTGGCAGATATAGCTCTTGTAGCCAACAAGATCAATGGATGTGGGTAAGGGTGGGATTCAGGTATCGAGCTTGATGATTAGCCATAATCGTATTGAATGGTACAGCAGACTCAAGGGGTCAAATGGCCTACTCCTGTTCCTATCTTCTTTGTTTCTATGTAAAATTATCACAACCATATGGCAGCCATTACAGGACTCTCCTCCAAATGTATGCATCTTTTTGGGTGGCACGGTGGCACATTGATTAGCACTGCTGCGCCACAGCACTAGGTACCCAGGATCTATTCCAGCCTTGGATAACTGTGAAGTTTGCAAATTCTCCTCCTGTCTGCGTGGGTTTCTTCCGGGTGCTCCATTTCCTCCCACAGTCCAAAATTGTGCAGCTTAGGTGGATGAGCCTGGCTAAATGAGGGGTTACGGGGGTAAGGTGGGGTGTAGGTCACTCTCTGATGGTTTGTGCAAACCGGATACGCGAACTGGCCTCTATCTGCACTGCAGGAATTCTACGAATCAATGATTGCTCTACATAAACCACCTTCATTCCAGCAATAATTGTTATCTATGCTGCACAGTTACTTTTAGCTTGTACTAGACATAATAGAAATTTTTTTTGGGGGGTGAAATTTTTATTACTTGATAAACTGCATCATTTGACTTAATCTGATTGTCTTTATTCCTGAAAAGCATCATTTAAAACCTGCCTTTATAAGCGACAAGTGCTAATGGAATAATTGTATTGTAGAAACAACCTAAGCTCAGATGTTGAACCCAAGTTGGAAGGGGACTCTCATCACACTGGTTTTGGTATCAGGCCAAACTTTAACTCAGATGTTCAGCATCACATGAAAAATAAACTTGCAGTGCAAGAGCAACCCGTGTTCACTCACCGACAAATTGAAGGGAAACATTCCTGAAGTCCCTTTTTCTTGACCAAGGATCCTTCTAGGCAATACATGATGATGTCCATAACCTGAAATCGTAAATAAGGACACCAGCATTTCAACAATGAAAATGAACACTCCAAATATATTTTTATTTGTTTTTTGCCAAGAGTTCACTGGTCTTTAAATATTTATTTTCTCTGCCTGTTCACTATTTACAAGGCTCAAATCAAGAATGTGATAGATTGTGCCTGTGTGGTTCAACCATAATAACAATTGAGAACTCCACATTATCTTCAACACAGCATTTCACTTGACCAGCATTTGTCCCAAGATTCAATATTTAGTTTCTCAATCACTAACACATGTAGTTGCTATATTGCACAAATTATAGGACGTACCACACCGGGACCATTCCCAGAGTCCACTGAAGGAACAGGTATTCATCAATTTGAAGTATGTCTGAAGTTATACAGAATCTTGATTTGCAAAAAATATTGCTGGTCCTTAATAGACTTTTAGCAATCGAAGAAGACAAATTCTATTTTAATTAGATGGCACAGATCTTTAATGGAGGTCAAGGAATATTGAAGAGGTGATACAATAACTGAAAGTGTTGGGGATGGAAAGAGAGATTGATCTGGAAGAATAGAATTTAATCAACTTCAGCTGCTTCCTGACCATTAGGCAACTTGGCCATTTCCAAATTCTCAAACCTTGATCAAAACTTGTGTGAACTTTTCATTGTATTTGTTGCCAGTATTACTTTATATTTAAATATTTCATGCTTAAATATGGTATCAAAGTGCCTTCTTCACTGAAAACACTGGGCTAATGCCCTTGGTTTTTGCTGTGGATGGTATATTAGCTAAGTACAGACTGGGAACACATCAGGCTCCCCTCTTTGATATGCATATGCTGCTACTTGACAATATTATCCACAAGTCAATCTGCAGGAAAGAAATACTAATGTGGACTGAAATGAGATTCATGCCACATATGGTGAGACTGTACAAACTGATAACTATTTCTAACTACAAAACCAAGCTCAGGCCTATTCAATAACTGAGGCCTTCATATGCCAGATTTCATAAACCAGAACCCAAACACCCACACACTGTACATGTGCTTAACTAAGTTACTGGGAAATATGCAATTATTAAGGTCAGAACCTATTTTGGGTAACTGATGATCAAACACTGCTCCCTATCCCAGATGATCATGACCAAAAATATCACAGATGTCCACTAGTTGTAAAATGATTAGATATAAAATAATGTTTCCTCCAAACTTTCTGTTTAGTGGAATGGTTTCCAAGCCTTTACATGAATAAACTTGTAGAAGGGACGTATGAGAAACCAATGAATTTCAATAAAGTCGTGAGAGATAGTGCATTTTGTTTGGAACAAATGAGGAGGACATAGACTGGGTGAGCAGACAGCAATAGGTGGTTTGAGCTGTGTGATTTGTTGAGTGGCTTCCCTGGCTAGCAATGGCCACTATCTTGGATTGGTGCTACATGTTTAGGAAGGAGTCTATGCTGTGAAGGTTAGCAAACAGCTTTGTTAGTCATTTCCTTTGCTGTGATCCAAATGTTTGTAGGAAATCTGGGTAAATTCCATCAAATCCTACTGCTTTGCCAATCACGGTACATTTGATTTGATTTGATTTATTTACTGTCATGTAGTGAAAGGCTCTGTTTGCGAGCAGTACAGGCAGATCGTTGTAAGCAAGGACAGACAGAGCAGAGGGTGAAAAAAAATTTGGACAGAGTAAGGCATACAGGTTACACTGCAAAGGACGTGCACTAGATAAGATCAACATTAACAAGATCAGCATTATTTGAAGTTAGAGGGTCCATTCATCAGTCTATTAATGGTGGGAAATAAGCTGTTCTTGAACCTGCCGATGTGTTTGTTCAAACCTCTGTATCTTCTGCCTGACAGAAGTAGTTGTAGGAGAGCATTACCGGGGTGGGATGGGTCTTTGATGATGTTGACAGCCTTTCTGCAGCAACGAGACACGCAAATGGAGTCCATGGATGGGGGGTTGGCTTCTTTGATGGTCTGGGCTGTGCACCCAACCTTCTGTGGTTTCTTACGGACCTGGGCAGAGCAGTTATCGCACCAGGCTGTTTTGCACCCGACAGTATGTTTTCTATGGTGCATCTGTAAAAGTTAGTGAGGGTCGTTACGGATGTGCCAAATTTCTTGACCTGCCTGAGGAACAGGAGGCATTATTGTGCCTTCTTGATCGTTGCATCTACATGGGAAGTCCAGGACAGGTTATCGTCACTTCTAGGAACTTGACGCTCTCAACCATCTCAACCTCCATTCTGTTGAAGTATATGGGGGCATGTTCTCCTCCTTTCTTTGTGAAGTCAATGATTAGTTCTTTAGTTTTGCTGACATTGAGAGAGGGGTTGTTATCATTGCACTATGTCACCAAGCCCTCCAACTCCTTCCTGTATTCTGACTCATCTGTCTTACCATGGTGGTGTGTCAGCAAACTTGTAGATGACATTTGTTCGGAATTTGGCAACACAGTAGTGGGTGTATAGGGAGTACAGTAATGGGCTGAGAACGCATCCTTGGGGGGCTCCAGTGTGGAGTGTTATTGTGGAGGAGGCACAGTTGTCTACCTTCACTGATTACGGTCTATGGGTCAGGAAGCTGAGGATCCAGTTGCAGAGGGTGGAGCTGAGATATGGGTCTCTGAGTTTTGAGATCTGTGTGGAGGAGATAATGGTGTTGAAGGCAAAGCTGTAGTTGACAAGCAGGAGTCTGACATTAGTATGTTTGTGGTCCAGATATTCCAGGGATGAGTGCAGGGTTAGGGAAATGGTGTCTACTGAGGATCTGTTACACCAGTAGGCAAATTGTAGGGGATTGAGGCAGACTGGGAGACTAGAGTTGATGTGGGCCATGACCAGACTCTCAAAACACTTCATGATTATGGAGGTCAGATCCACTGGGTGATAGTCATTAAGGCATATCGCACGTGCTTTCTTTGGTACTGGGATGATGATGGTGGTCTTCTTGAAGCAGGTGGGGACTTCAGCTTGTAGGGGGGGGAAGAGATTGAAGATGTCCGTGAATACCTCTGCCAGTTGGTCTGCACAGAATCTACTGCACGACCGGGGACTCTGTCTGGGCCCATTGCTTTTCTTGGGTTGACTCCAAGGAAGACCGGATCTGACATCTGCAGTGGTGACAGTGGTCACAGGTGCACCCGGGGCTGTCAGGGCAAGCCGCTGGCATTCTGCTCAAACCGAGCATAGAAAGCATTGAGCGCATCAGAGTGGGATGTGTCCGCTATCTGCTCTGCTTCATTTTGTATCTGGTTATGTTGTTTAGGCCTTGCCACAGGCAGTGGGAGTCCGTAAGGTTGATGTGGGCCTCTAGCTTGGTCCGGTACTGCCTCTTGGCATCTCTGATGGCTTTGCAGAGTTCATTTCTGGATTTTCTGTATACGTCTGGGTCGTCCAACTTGAATGCTGCATGCCTAGTCTTCAGCAGGGAGTGGGTTTCCCGGTTCATTTAAGGATTTTGGTTGGGGAACACCCAGATTGATTTTTTCGTCACACAGTTGTCCACACATTTGCTAATGAAGTCTGTGACAGTGGTGGGGTGCTCGTCCAGATTTTCCGCTGAGTACTAGAATACAGTCCAGTCCACTGATTCCAAGCAGTCCCGGAGATGCTCTTCCGCTGCCTCTGACCAGCATTGTATTTCTTTCTGTGAAGTATCCTCCCATTTCAGCTACTGTTTGTGAACAGGGAGGAGGAACACAGCATTGTGATCTGATTTTCCGAAGTGTGGACAGGGAATAGAGCGGTAGGCATCTTTGATGGTTGCATTACAGTGGTCCAGGATGTTCGGTCGTGTAGCGGGGCAGGAGATGTGTTGGTGGTACTTTGGCAGCGCCTTCTTGAGTTTGGCTTAGATGAAGTTGCTGGCCACGATGAATAAGGGCTCTTCCGGGAAATTTGTCTCCAGAGTGTTTGTGGCAGTGTAAATTTCATGCAGGGCTTTCTTCACATCCACATGTTAGAACACTGGAAATATTTTTATGTGCAATGAGTTAAGAAGTCTGTCTGTTCTGACATTGTGCCATAAGGACTGTTTTTGCTATCCACTCATCTTCCTTGTTGACCTATATCGTTGAGCTTAGTAAGAATGCAAAATGACGACATCAGTGTTCACTCTAGTGTTGCTCAGTTGATTCCAGGCAGCATAGGAGTTTCTACATGTTCCAGTTGAATGTGTGAAGTCAACGTTCTTTGCTCACCACCAGGCATTTTTCACCAAGTGATTTGTGAAGAGTTGTCATCGCATTGGGGTCTTCATTCTTCCTGCATTCTTCAATGAGCTGTTCACTTTCTGACTTCCAGCAGGAGATAAAGGTTTTCTGACACACCATGGAACACATATTGGTGGCTGCCAGTTTGAGAAGTTGAACATCTGGTTGCATTGTTTCCAGGAAGGCTAGGATTTGTTCAATGACAGTTTTAGGCTGTCAAGCACTGTTAAAAATTTTATATGTTTCAATTAGATTCCCTCTCATTCTTCTAATCTGTAGCGTACACAGGCCTAGTCGAACTAATCTCTCCTGATGGTGCAGTTCTGTCAACCCTGGTATCAACTTAGTGAATCTCCACTGCATACCCACTATGGCAAATATATCCTTTCTTAGATGGGGGGAGACAAACTACATGCAATATTCTGGGTGTGGTTTCACCAAGGCCCTGTATATCTGCATTCTGAGGAAGGATCACTCGACCTAAACCATTAACTCCGATTTCTCTCCACAGATGCTGCCAGACCTGCTGAGCTTTTCCAGCAAATTCTGTTTTTATTCCTGTATATCTGCAGTAAGACGTCTCTACTTCTGAACTCAAATCCTCTTGCAGTGAAGATCAATATACCATTTGCCTTCCTAATTGCTTGCTATACCTGCCTGGCTACTTTCATTGACTAAAATACAAGGACACTCAGATCCCTTTGCACATCCACACTTCTCAATATGCCATCATTTAAATAATACTCTTCAGTATGCAAAACAGGAAGCAAGGAGGCTTCAAGGTGATTTGGACAAGTTAAATGAGTAGGCAAACACATGGCAGACGCATTATAACGTACTAAATTGCAAGTTATAAACTACAATATGAAAAACTGGAAGGCAGTGTATAACTTCCCATTCAGCCACGTTATAATGCATCTGCCATGTGTTTGCCCACTCATTTAACTTGTCCAAATCACCATGATTTTCCTCCTTGCATCCTCCCCTCAACTCACAATCCCACTCAGTTTTAGGTCTTCAGCAAACTTGGAAATGTTGCACTTGGTTCCCTCATCCAGGTCATTTACGCATATTGTGAACAGTTGGGGCCAAAGCACTAATCCTTATGGTATCCCATTAGTTATTGCCTGCCACTCGGAAAAAGACCTATTTGTTCCCATTCTCTGTTTTTTGTATGTCAACTAATTCTTGACGCATGCCAGTTTACTTCCCTATATGTCATGTGCTTTAATGTTGGTCACAAACTTATGATCAAAAACAGTCTTGAAATCGAAAGACCTCACATCCACTTATCTATTCCAATAGTTACAATTTCAAAAATTGGCAGTAGAAACTGCAATATGCAAAGAGATTAAATTAAAAACAAATAAAAACACTCATTAAAAGAAAAATATCAAACATAGAACATTAGAATTTTGGGAATATAAGAAGTCCATTAATTCCATGAGGTTTGTGCTTTCTCTTAAGAGATTGATCTCACCCTTGCATAGCATCACTCAATTTTCTTTGGTCTCCAAAACTATGAAAACCAATAGCTTTGAACTCATTACAATTTCTGATTCACTTGAAAAGTGAAGACCATAAGACTACAAAATATAGGAGCATAATTAGGGTAATTGGCCCACTGGGTTTGCTCCGCCACTTGATCACGGTGGATGCATTTCTCAGGCTCATTTTCCAGCCTTCTTCCTGCAAATCTTGATCTTCTTATGAATCAAGAACCAATCTATCTCTGCCTTAAATACATTCAATGACTGAGCCTCCACAGCGCCCTGCAGCAACGAGTTCCACAGGTTAACCACCCTCTAGCTGAAGAAAATGCTCTTCATCTCAATTCACTCTGAGGCTGTGCCCTCGTCCTAGTCTCTCCTATTAGTGGAAACATCCGCTCCATGTCCATTCTAACCAGGCCTCTCAATATTCGAGTCAACAACATGC